GATTTGGAAAGTGCAGCCTCAGAATCTGAAATCCATTCATTCCCCACCCACTAACCATTGCTTCATGTATTCATTCATGCAACACACCCCGAATGAACACTCTTTCATCTGATGCCTACCCAGGGCACCACACAGGTCTGTGACCATCACATGCCCGGCCGGGCCCGGTGGTGTGCCTGGCAGAGGACTGTGAGCAGGTAAGGTTCACTTTCCATCCTCCATGATAAACGCTGAGAAAAGAAAGGTCAAGAGCTTCAGAGCCCAGCTTCAGAGCCCATGGAAGGGAACTCATACAGCTGGGGGCCAGGAAGCTCTGAGAAAAACTGCCTGGAGAGCATGGTGGCGGTGACCACGGGGGGGCAGGGAGAAGGACCCAGAGGGCTGCAGAATGCTTGCTGTGGAAGACACCATACGAGCGGCATGAAGTCAGAGTCAAAAGCAAACCCATCCCCTCCTGACGACGGGACCCAGGAGGCAGGACAACCTGCCAGAGAGGCTGAAGGGGGTTCTCTAGGGATGGAATCACCACAAGAAAGAGAACGAGGGTCTCCCCTACTTTCCTTGCCAACAACAGCTAATCTTCCAGAGCTCAGCCGTCTCTTGTCCCTTGTCTTCAGAAGCCTGGGGAGCTAGAGACAGGCAGCTGAGGTCAGGAAGGGAAGGTGGCGGCCAGGCCCAGGAAGGCTGAATCCTCGTGAACCCTCAGGGCTGAGTGAGGGGCCAGTGCCCGGCCCAGATGCCAGCACAGCCAATACAGTGGGTGGCGATCCCAGCAGATGGATGGGCACTGCCCGATGGTGAACTGGTCAGCACTGCGGTGGTCCCCTTGGCCTAATATGCCCACCTGAAGAGCTGCCAGGTCTCCAGTGACCCTAGTATCATGGCCAGGAGAGGAGCAGGGAGACCTGAGGATGCAGAGAAGGTTCTGCTGGTGAACTCGGCCTCACTAAATACTCACCTGAAGTGCAGCGAACAGAAGAGGCCCCGAGGAGCACACACCTGCTATTCCCGGAGGAAGGTGGGGAAGCACAGAGAGATGGCATTTGATCAATCGATTGATTGATTGGCTGTAGTCAAGTCCCCCGCCAGGTCACAGGGCTCAGAGGCTTCGGAGGGGAGGGATTTCCTGCTGAAGCAGCTGGAACCCTGTGGGCCGGAGGGAAACAGGCCTGGTGGGCGTCCCATGAAGAGGGAGGGACCAGGAGCAGGACGAAGGTGGGCACAGCCCCCATGAGGGCCTCAGGTCACACTGGACGTCTCAGCAAGCATCACCTGGGTAGTGACGAATGGGGAGAACAGATGAAGTGCGGGGTGTAGCACTGAGAAGCTACACGGCCGGGTCACCCTCAAGATGAACAGGGTTTGCTCTGCCTGAGGCGCCCACGCTGGCTGCAGTCACAGGGCATCCATGTGAGAAAGGTCAGACCCAGGCCCACTCGCCTTCCATGTGGGTCTTAAGGACAGGCATGCTTGTGCCAGCAGCAGCCTTACTGTCTCTGCGTCCCCCAGTGCACCTGCCAGGGCAAAGCCTGTGTCCCCCAGTGCACCTGCCAGGGCAAATCCAGGCGGTGCCAAGGACCTGGGGGAGGGGGCGGGCTGTACTCGGAGGCAGGGCACGGACACCAGACCACATGGAGGAGCAGCTGAAACAGGGCCGGAGGCAGCTGCTGCCTGAGAGATGCGCCAAACACTGAGCCTGGTTAGTTTACCGCTGCCACGGCATGACCCCGAAGTTACTGCCCTTTCCATGGCAAAAACACAATGACCCTGAGGTTTCTGCCCCTTTTCTAGAAACTTCTGCATGACCGACCCTTAATCAGCATACGGTTAAATGTGGGTGCAAATACGATGCGGAACCTGGGGGAGGGCTCCTGAGAGGTGGCCACGGACCTGGGCCACTCAGCTGGGATGAAGACCCTGCACGACCTGTGCCTCCCAGCATGCCCCGTGCCTCCCAGCATGCCCCTTGCCTCCCAGCATGCCTCATCCCTCCCAGGATGCCTTGTTCCATCCCAGCATGCACTGTTTCATCCCAGCATGCCCTGTTCATGCCAGGATGCCCCGTTCCATCCCAGCATGCACTGTTTCATCCCAGCATTCCCTGTTCATGCCAGGATGCCCCGTTCCATCCCAGCATGCCTCTTTCCATCCCAGCATGCCCTGTTCATGCCAGGATGCCCCGTTCCATCCCAGCATGCCTCTTTCCATCCCAGCATGCTCCATTATATCCCAGCATCAAATACGTGGCCTGGAGAGCTCCCTTGCCCCTTTCCCTTCAAGGTCAGTATTTTTAGACGCAATTCTTTAATTTTTGAAAATGCCCCAAAGAGATTTTAGTGATGGGCACATACTCGATGCCCCTCCCAGCATGCCCTGCTCCCCCCCAGCATGTCCCTTTCCATTCCAGCATGCCCTGCTCCTGCCCCCTGGTCCTTGGGGACGTTACCTGGACCCACCTAGGCAGGTCTGGTGGCCACCAGCAGAAGCTTGGGTCTGGGTGCCCCCTCACTGCCTGGTCAGGCCCCAGCCGCTGCTCACCTGGAAAGCACAGGGGCGGACGTCAGGCTTCAAGCATGGAAGCCAAGTGTGCGGAGACCTGGAGTGAAAAGTGGCTTCCAGGTCCAGCGTGAGGCCCCTGGCATCTCCCACAGAGGGGAGCAGAGGGGAGCCTTGCCTGGGACACTGGTAGCTTTGCCTCTGGGTCCTGCGATCTTGCGTGAGTCTATGTGATTCTGCCGGATTCCGCCTTGCTCAGTGTTGGTCTCCCTGCTGCCTCAGCCACGCCGGCCTCTGGAATCCAGCTCTCCAGCAGCCGCTCTTCCACCTGGCGTCTTTCTTATCCTACCTTTTGTTTCCACCCAAGGAATGTTCTTTCCCTCCTAGAAGTTACCACCAGGACACCTCCAAGCCCAGCCCCTTTCTGGACATCACTCCCCTTTCATCATTTCTGCTGTGGGCTGAAGGTTTCTGTCCCCTCAAAATGTATTTGTTGAATCCTAACCCCAAGGTATGGTATTAGGAAGTGGGGCCTTTGGGAGGCGATGAGGTCACGGGGTGGAGGCCTCCCGGAAGGGATTAGTACCCTTAAGAAAGAGGCCCGGAGAGCTCCCTTGCCCCTTTCCCTGCAGGAGGACCCACACAGCACCAGCTTCTATGAGGCCCTGGCCTCAGCAGACTCTGATTCTGCCAGCACCTTGACATCCCGGCCTCCAGAACTGTGGGAAATGAATTTTCATGGTTTATGTGGTATGGCTTTCCATGGTATTTAGTTACAGGCATCCGCGCAGACTAAAACAATTCCCATGCAAGCTGGAGAATCAGAAGGGGCATTTGCTCTGTAAAAGCACCTTCAGTGGTGCCAGCTTCACCCCCACGGCACCGGTTCTCATCACTCTCTGAGGCTGCCCTCACCTTCACAGGCCTTGAATCATTAAGAGAGTTCAGCCACAAACCAGGCAGGAAGCTTTCCTACTTTTCAGCAGCCAGAAGGCTTTGCAGATAATATTCTTTAAAATTCAGTCATTATGTATTTAGTTGTTACCAACCACAGAGAAAAATATGCATATTAAAAAGTCCATAATTACATAATAAGCACTTACTGTCGATTGCATTCTCTGCCATATACTCTTTATCCCCTTTATCTTAAAAAAAATCGGAGAACAATTACCACAAACACTAAAATGAATCAAGCACCACATGTCAGGTTAATGCAAAATTAGCACATAGGTATCTTTGAGCACATAGATAAGTTTTAATTCAGATGCCGTCCGTCCTAACCACATGGGATCCATAGCCCTGCCACCATGGCTGAATGGCAAAGGACTCAGGAGGACACCTGTGGAATCACCTGCTTGGATTCGAAGCTGCCAGAGTGTCAGGTGATCTGGGCGAGGCCTGTAACCTCCCTGAGTCTCAGTGTCTTCACAGGGAAGGCATAGTGTTTACTTCATACAGGTTGCTGTGAAAAGTATATGCCCAGATTTCACCGCAAAAACAAGCAAAATAAAAGAAATGGGTGAAAACCAGCACCTTGTCCCACTTCTCTTGTGGCTGTGTAGTTACATGACCCAGTCCTTGCCAGGAGGTGCCAGTGGAAGTGCCTCTGTGAATCCTGAGAAAGGGGTCCCTTCCCGGGAACATGCTTGGCCGGCTCTTTCTTCTCTTTGCCCTCTTCTGTCCTCTGTGTAGAATGCAGATGCAATGCTGGAGGTGCGGCTGATATCTTGTGTCTTTGAGGCAGCATAGGAATGGCTGAGCAGAAAGATTTGAGGAGGCCATGTCCCTGATGGCACCATAGAGCCAGCAACTGCCCCGGACTGCCTTCCCCTTGAGACCCTGCAACCACCCTGGACTGCCTTCCCCTTGAGAAAAACAACCTGAAATTGCATTTGTCTCTCGGGAATTGCTCTTCCTGGATGCTGATGGAAGGCTGGCAGCCAGTGGGTGTGTGATGTAGAAGCTGCTCTTATTTCAAGCTGGGATGATGTCGTCCCTGTTCCTTGACACCCTAAGCCTCTGACCTAGGCATGGGGAGAAAATCCAGTCAGACTGGGCGTTCTGGGCTTCTCTCTGCTGAAATGCCCTAAGGAGTTACTCTGCTTCCACTGACCGTGGACAGAAACCCCACTGCCATCTCCTGAGTCTCAGCTCACAGCCTACTCCTTCCTTCCTCGCTGAACAAAACCTCCGAGGAGCCCACTGGGGTGAAGACGCTGGGTACCAGCTCCTTTGCACGCCTTGCCTGCGTGCACAGGTGGGCTGGCCGCTCCTCCCTCCCGTCCTTGCCAGGGCTGACGTGCCCCACATCCGCGGCAGTGCTCCGATGGCGGTGCTTTCTGTCAACTCTGTGTGTCCTCCCCTGGGTTTTCCTCCAGGGTCATGTTGCCTCTCAGAGCCCTGCTCAGGACACCAAGTGCCTCCCTGTCGCCCTCTGGGCAGTGGAACTGGGCCAGGGCTCAGCTCTGGTTACTGGAAGCTTCCACCTGTCCACCATTCCTCCCAGCATGCTATGCAAGCATCGCTGTGTTTCACGTCTCCCACGGCATAGAAACGGTGGAGGACCCCTAGTCGGACTTGATCCAGGGAGCATCCCAGGTAAGGACCTAGGTGCACAGAGGCCAAAAGAGCCTCTCCCAGCCTTCAGCCTCCACTCCTCCAGGTGCTCAGAGGGCAGCTTTAGGCAGCACGGCCCAGGGGCAACGGCCTCTCCGGCTGCTCCCAGCCCTCCTCTCACTGTTGATCTGGACCCCCCCAGGACCCTTCCTACCACAGCATTCATGTCCCCTCTTCCTGTTTTAATGACCCTCAGTCACCCCGACTTGTGTGTATTGCTCCATTTGTTTAATATCTCAGTTCGCCACCAGAACAAATGGGACTTGGGCAGGGATTGGGTCTGTCCCTGAGCGTGGACGCTCACACGACACTCAGGTGCTTCCCAGTGAGTATTTGTAGAGTAAGTGGAGGAATGAATGAATGCGTGAACAAATGAATGAATGTATGAGAAGTACGGCATCCAACTTGCTGGTCTGTCTCTACCGTGTTTGCCTGGCCCGTGCTCCAAACCTGTCCTGGGTCCACAGCTCTCCTTCAGGCCCCTGTGCCCCTAGAACATTCCACTCCCTCCTGCTCCGCTGTCTCCAGCCTGCCAAGGCTTGTGGGAGGCTTTCCAGCAGTGCTGGGGATGCTGGTTCCATCCCCACTCCGAGCACACTCTGTCTCTCTCTCCCTCTGCACCAGGTGACTTTAAACTCTAAGCCCCTCACCTCGACCAGCACGTTGAGTTGTCCGATGAGTCAATGATAAATGGATGGAAAAAATGACAATACAATTTCCAATGGCTTAAAATCCAGAATAGAATGATTTTCAAAAGAATCCCACAGCCAAGTTCTCTGTATGGGAATTGAAGCCAGGACCAGAAGAAGAATACATAAATCTGTCTTTTGATTCCTCTGCCCTGGAGGCAGCTTGCTAAATCCCTGGACCAAACAGTCTTCTGCTAATTTGCTTCCCCGAAGCTGCCAAGCACGCCTGGCTGCAGCGACATGGCTGGGCCTGCTGCCGCCCAGGTCCCAGAGATGCAGGCTCCAGAAGCCACCTCCCTCCCCAAAGCAAACGTGGCCCACGCAGCCCTGACTGTGCCAGCACCAGGAGCAGAGGTTGCTTCCAGCTATGGACTTCAGCTTTTCACTAAGGGGCACACAGGCTCCTGGAATGCAGCGGCTGCGAGAAGAGAGTCCACACGGCTTTGCCCTGGCGAGGTGGCAGCAATGATGGGTTTGGGAGAGAAACCTTGTACCACCCGGTACAGCTCTGGCCCTCAACTCACCAAGGGCAGCTATCTTCCAGCCTGAAGCCTTTCAAAGATGCGTGTGCGTGTGCGTGCATGTGCACTACTGCATAGAAATGAATCTTTATGGAATTCGGGTCAAGAAGCTCTCCCAGGCCACAGCTGCCTTTTTGTCTGGTCTGTAGAGCTAAGGGTTGGTAACCTGATGAGGCCAGGACCTCAAGTGAAGGTGATGAGGAAGAGGAGTGGGTGGGAGAAAGTTGAGACCCATGGGAAGGACGATGGAGATCCCCAAACTGGATGGAGGCCTGGAGAGCAGTGGGGAGCCACCCACGGCCACCATCAATACAGAGTGACCCCCACCTCCGCAGGTGGGGTGAATAGGTCTTAAATTCCACAGGGGCCTCCAGTCTGGGCTCCGAGTCCGCTGGATGGATGAGCAAGATCACAGTGTGGGGGCTGAGCTCCCCCAGGGGCAGAGTGTGCAGGTGAAGTCTCCATCGCTGGCCCGGCGACAGCAGAGGGGCCTCAGTGACACAGCACTGGGCTTAGGAGTCTGGGGGGCTGCAGAGCTTCGGGGGGGGGGCTGCACAACTCAGGAGTCTCAGCTCCTTCTGAACTTAGGCTCGGATTCAGAGCCCTCCAAATCCCCAGCAGGTATCGAATGCTTGCTAGCATCACAGCCACCATGCGGCGATCACATGTGTGTGTTTTGATCCACCCCATCGCCTGTGAGTCCAGCAGCCACCCGTTTTATTTTTAGTCAGAAACCTGAGAGCTGAGTCACTTTTCCAAAGTCACCGAGTGGCTGAGCTGCAGCACAGAACTAAAGCTAAGTTGCGGGCTGGTCTCTCCGCCTCCACCTTCTAGCCAGAGTGCTCGGGAAAGCAGGAGCAAGGAAACCCCAGTACATTAGAGAAAACCCCTGAAAACATCCTCCAGACAGCCCAGCGCCCGTGAATTTCTCTCGTGTCCGACCCACATGCTAATTTTTGTGCCTTCCCTGTCACGGAAACAGTCGTAATCAACCTCGCTGCTGAGAGCCTGCTCCGGCTGAGACGGAGGGCCTGTCTCATCTTTGGGAGATGCTGAAAGGCGGCTGCCCCGTATCCTAACATTTTCTTCGCAGCCTCATTTCCCTGTAGAGAGACGAGGAAGCCGGACGGTGGCCGTCGGGCTCAGCATTTGGGAGCTGCCTGGCGGCAGGCGAGGACCCCAGACACGAGAGACGTCCTCACTCCTGGGCCTGCTGAGCTCTGATGCCCCCTCAGGGGTGGCTTAGAGGTGGCCGGCTCACTTCGGGAAGCCCAGAGAACAGATTCTTTCAAAATGAGCCTCAGAGAGCAGCCTGTAGCCTGGCAGCTTCCCTGCAGCTGGAAGTGGAGGTTGGGGGAGGCCAGAGCATTTCTCTGATGACTAAGGATCTGGGTCACCTTTTCTGTGTGTGCTGCCACAGGCCTTGACCTCCAGGGCCTGAGCGTTTATGGGCTGAGCCCCCTTTTCCGTGGGGTTATTTCCTTATTGTCTATTTGCATGCTTTCTTTGTTTCTCAGATGCACCCTTTTGCTTGCATTGGTTGTAAATAACTTCTCTTAATTGAAATTGTTTCTTTCACGGGTGTGATGTCACGTGTATCATCAGAGGTGAGTCTTCCTCTTTATTTCTTTTCTTTTTCTTTTTTTTTGAGACGGAGTTTCGCTCTTGTTACCCAGGCTGGAGTGCAATGGCGCGATCTCGGCTCACCGCAATCTCCGCCTCCTGGGTTCAGGCAATTCCCCTGCCTCAGCCTCCTGAGTAGCTGGGATTACAGGCACGCACCACCATGCTCAGCTAATTTTTTGTATTTTTAGTGGAGACGGGGTTTCACCATGTTGACCAGGATGGTCTCGATCTCTTGACCTCGTGATCCACCCGCCTCGGCCTCCCACAGTGCTGGGATTACAGGCTTGAGCCTCCGTGCCCGGCCTTTCCTCTTTATTTCTTAACAGAAAAAACTATCCACTTCTCTTGTGATTGCTCGAGTTTTCGTCTTGTTCATAGTTTTTATTTCTTGTCTTTAATATTATATCTCATTTTTCCTGTTGCGTATTTTTTTACTATTTTTATTTTTTATGCTCTTTTTATAGGATTCCAGTTTTCTCTGTATCTTTCCGTGGTGTGACAGTTGTGCCTCCCCGGCTGATCTTCTCCGGATACTCACGTTCTGTGTCTATAGCTCACACATCCACACACACACAGGTAGTTGACCTTTATTTTTTGGTATTGATTTCCATGAGGGAACAATGTCTGTGGACTCCGTGTTGGGTCCGAGGAGAGACGGAGCGTGCCTTTATCTCCCACCTTGGCTTCGCTTCTCAGTTTTGTCAAAATAGCCTGGGATTGTAGAGGTATTGTTTACTTTTCAAAAGGGCCATTCTCTAGAGTGTGGAAAATCAGTCCCTTCCAGCCGGGTCTGATAGCTTTACACATAAACAGCTACGCCTCTCGCAAGAAACCCCAAGGCATTTATTTAGCTTGATTGCATACAGGTGTCTGGCAGGAGGAAGATGTATTGAATTTTTAACTGTCAGTTAAAATAGAGAGTATTGAACTTTCTATTTTGGTAGCCTTTCTAAGCAAGGTCAATACCATGTTATTTAGTCTGGAGCTGAAGGTTGGTGATGCCTGTCACCTGTCACCCCTGAGCTGACATTCATATTCCAGGCAATTCTCTGTCTGGCAGGAGAGCACAGAAAACGCGTCCCCTCAGCCTCCCTGATAGCAGGAGCCACAGGAGAGAGGCCCTGGGGGAGGCAGGGAAATCAGGCAGGACACCAGACCACACCAGTGGGATCTGTGCCCTGGGCATGGAGCCTGCGTGGACCCACTCTCCAACCCTGGGGCTTCACACACAGCAGAGACCTCTGCCTGGTCACTGTCCAGCGGGGCACTGTGGCCAGCAGGCCTGTGAGGCAGGCAGGACTGCAGGGGAGGGCGGACTTCAGGCCATTAGGAAACTCCACGCGTCTTAATTCCCTTGTTTGTGATGCAGTGACCTTGGTGGGACACCCTGTATGTGAAAGGTCTGGCATTTGCCACTCAATCTGCTCACACTGGGCCTGACTGTAGCTCCGGGAAGGCTTTAAGGAGGAGACGGGTCTGAGCCTGAGCCTGGCCCTGTGTGAGGACCGGACAGAGGCCCCCAGAGTGCAGAGACCCTGAGCCCAGGAAGGCTGGCGGCCTGAGGGGGCTCTGTGCTGGCCCGTAGAGGTGGGTATAAAGGTCATAGTTATGTGGGGGAGCTGGGGGAAGGGGACAGAATTTGCAGAGACTAACACCCAGGAAGGACAGGCGGGAATCTCACACAGAGGTGGCATTTTCACCTGGAGACAGGGCTGCCCTCAGAGGTCTCTGAGCTGTAGAATGAGTGATGTCAGTGGCACTGCACCCACAGTGACTCTCAGGATCCCACAAGGAAGTATCCTCTCCATGAGGCACTGCCTCCCACCCACGCCCAGGAGCTAGGCCCCCAAGCAGCCATCCCCAAAGAGTGGCCTGTACGTCACTGCTGCTCCTCAGCGAGCCTCACCCAGGAAGCCAGGAGGAGGCCTTTGAGGGACCTGCGCAGGCAGAAGGCCAGTGCTGTTGGCTCCATCCTCACCGCAGGCGGCCTTCGCAGTCTCTGACGTTAGAAGTCACTGTCCAGGAGAAACCACTGAGGAGAGGGCGTGGTGTTCACTCAGGGGCTGAGCTAGGCCGTGGGGCAGCGGGCTGCTGAGGAGGGCAGCATGGGGAAGAGAAGCTCCCTGCCTGGCTGCCCCAGGCCCCCTGGGACTAGGAAGTGGGTGAACTAGGGTCCTACCTGCCGGGACAGCCCATGTGCCTGCCAGAAGGTGAGTCCCAGACCTGGGTCTGTACCACGAGCCTCCCAGGGGCCAGGGCCTCTTCAGGATTGGGAGAAGTGAACTGTTTGATCAGTGACGGAGACGTGGGGGGCTTGGTGGCGTACCGATCTCGGCACCTCGGCGTCTGTCTACACCGTTTCCATCCTCTCTACATCCACTACCTCTACACCCGACGTATTCCACCTGACTCAGGGCCCCGCTGCCTGCCACTCCTAACCCTCCTGAGTTCTTCCACGGCAAGAACGTCACCCCCACCCCCAGCTCCCAAGTCCTGCGTCATCCACTCCTCCCTCCTGAGCTTGCTCTGGATCTGGAGGGGATGGCCCTGAACTAGAGAAGGGCCTGCCATGTCCCGTTCCTCTGTGCACAGAGCCTGTTTCACTCTTCAGGTGCCTTGGCTAAAAGCAGGGCTCATCCCAGGACTGTCCAGTAGTCCCTGAGGTCTGCAGGCCCTGCCTCCTCCAGCTGCCAGTGTCGGCCTGAACCGCCACCTGCCCGAGAGGGACCCAAGAGGCAGAGCCTGGCTGGGTCCATCGCTTACCCCGTGGGCCTCAGAGGCTCCAGAGCTGCAAGTCAGACAGTCTCCTGCATTGAGCATGCTGAATGGGGGCTTGTAATTGTTTTTATTGTGATTTAAATTTAACTTCAAGCTCTTAATCCCAAGGTCACAGGATGCCTGGGATATGGACGCTGCCCTCTGTCCCCTGCAAACCGCAGAGCACCGTGAGCCCTGCACCCTGCTTCTGTGTGAGAGGAGCTGCAGCTGGAGGAGCGCCAGCTGAGAAAAAGACTTTATGCACCTTTTGAAGTCGAGCTAAGCACAGAATTGAGCTGAGTGACAGCTGGATGGGAAGCCACTTTTGGGCAGCAGGGAGCTGCAGCCTGGAAATGGAGAACCTTCCAGAAGGTGGCAAGGCTGCCCTGGAGCAGGGCTGGGGGCATCTCACTCATGAATCTCACACCCACAAGCAGAAATCGGCCTGGCCAAGACCATTTCCCAACCTCCCATGAGGCAGGAGCCCAGGCCCATCCATGCTGTGACCTCACAGAGCCACTAATACTCCGGGCCCCAGGGCAAGGGTTGGGGGCAGACAAACTCCACCTGGCTTTGTGGGCTGCCAGACCCCTGCACAGGGCGCACTCAGTCCCACCAGACGTCAGACCCCTGCACACAGACTCTCCAGCAATGTCTTTCCTAGGCCCAAATGCTTGATTTCACCCAGGCGGCCCTCAGCGGAGGCCGGGTTCCTGCTAAGGGCTTTGCCTTCTGGCTGCAGGGCTGCCTGGCGAGGGTGGTCTCCACCAAGCAGGTCCCTGCACCTCAGCAGCAGATGCTGGCATTTGGGGATCTCGTTTCTGGGGAGCCAGTGGCAATGTGCCTCTCCTGTCTCAGGGACACTGCGGCCTCTTCCTCTGAGGCCCCTCGGGCAGGTCACATGCCCAGTGGGTGGGCTCAGCAATGGCAAGCCTGTGTGCTCTGCCAGGGTGTCTGACATCCAGGACAGGCTTTGGGAGAGGAACCTTTTGTTAGCAAAAGATCACAGGGACGCTCACCTTTGCAGGGCACTGAGCAGACAAAGGTGGCCCTCGGCATCCGGATGTCTGTTTAATTCATGCCCCAGCAGGGACTGAGCCTTCTGAAAAATGCACACTCACAGCTCCGAACTGCTGGCTGGAGATCATGGGATGAGGAAACAGGGACTTTACTGAGATTCCGGGCGGGCGTTTGCTAACCTCCCTGCTCTGCAACACTGGGAGGGCGGCTGGACCAGGACATCTCTGGCCACACGGGATTCTCCTGCTCTGCTGGCAGAGGTGGCCTCGTGTGCATGTGAGGTCTCCGGCCACCTGCTCCGAGTGACTGATGAATAGCTGCGGGGTGTCCCAGGCCGCCCTGCCTCAGCTAAAGCGCTGCTGCTGGTCACAGTCCCCTCTGGCCTAGACTTACTTCCTTTCATGCCTGGCTCTCCAGGGGACTCCCATATACCCTCCCTGGCTCAGGTCCAGGTCGGAGACCCTGGGGAAGTCTCCAAGGTCACCCTGCTTTCCCTTGTCCTTCAGATCCGCCCCCACCTGCCTATAGGCCCCAGGCAGTCTTCTCCTGTGGAGGCTACTGTGCTCTGTGCCACCCCTGCTCCCATGTGCAGGCCCAGGAAATAATATGCAGGCGGTGGGATCAAGTGGAAGCCACCGCCCATGTGTGGCATGGAGGCCCACATGCCCACTCCTCTGACGGGCATGGAGGCCCCCATGCTCACTCCTCTGACGGGCATGGAGGCCCACATGCCCACTCCTCTGACGGGCGTGGAGACCCACATGCCCACTCCTCTGATGGGCGTGGAGGCCCCCATGCTCACTCCTCTGACGGGCATGGAGGCCCACATGCCCACTCCTCTGACGGGCGTGGAGGCCCACATGCCCACTCCTCTGACGGGCGTGGAGGCCCACATGCCCACTCCTCTGACGGGCGTGGAGACCCACATGCCCACTCCTCTGATGGGCGTGGAGGCCCCCATGCTCACTCCTCTGATGGGCATGGAGGCCCACATGCCCACTCCTCTGACGGGCGTGGAGACCCACATGCCCACTCCTCTGATGGGTGCTGCCGAAGGGCCCACTGAGAAGGGGCAGAGTCCCTGACCAGGGCCCATTCCTTCACTGAGCAGAGAGGAAGCTGCTCCTGAGGCCTCAGGCTTCAAGGCAGCAGGCAGACCCACTACCCTGGACGGCTGCAGGGACACCAGGGCAGGGGGCAACAGGGGCCTCCAGGGCTGAAGCACAGAAGGCTTCATGGAAGAGGGGGTGTTTGGATACACCATGATAAACAGGAAGGGGTTGGTGGGGAGATGGGTAGAGGGAGGGCAGGGAAGAAGGAGAAGTGGGGGGCATGACAGTGGGAACACCTAGGCATCCACGCTGGCGGCTCGAGAAGGAGAAACGTGCCTTAGAATTGGGTGAGGGGCCCCTGAACCTCTAGTGAGGGTGGTATGCAGACCCCACCATCCCCCAGATGGCCGCCCTTCTGGAGCTTCTGAGTCCGAGGGGATGCATCTGTTTAATATTAATAGACATTTACCATTTACTTCCAAAGAGAGACTGCAAATCTAATAGTCACCGTGAACGTCAGAGGCTCTTGCTGCCTGGTCTTTCCCCTGACAATTATCTGAAGCATTGCCAATGCGATACGTGAGAGACAGTTAGCCAATCACACACGTGATTGTTAATAAAAATGAGCGTGAAGTCCCATCAACGGTTCCTCTTCTTTAAATTGCCTATTTACGCCCTTCATTAATTCTGCACTTTGCTATAAGAACGTGTCCTGTTTGTTTTGGGGGTGCCCCATGGTGGACATTTGACTTTGGGGTTTCTGAACTTGCTCTCAGCCCCTTCCTTCAGCAAGAGCGAGACCAGCCTCACTTTCAACACCTGTGAAGCTGTGGGGTGTTTGGACCTGGATCGCCTGTCTCCTGCCGGTGATGACTGCTTTCCCTGGGGTGTGTGTGACAGTCATACACCCCCCCACACAGAGGTGGCTGTGCACAGATAGAAGGCATTGAAGGCCTTGGTGTATATGATGCAGGTTTCAGACAGCCTGGGGGCCAGCATTTCCGGGGAGAGCTGGCGTCCGTGAAGACCACAGTCACAAACACACTTGAGAAGTCTCTTCTCAGTGGGCTCCAGAATTTTCATCTTCTCATGCCAACAGTAACTGTGCAGAATAAGCACATTACACCAGCAAAATGTGGCTTTTAGGATGACCAGATATAAAATAACAAAAAAAAAATGCCATTTTTTTCTACACTAGCAGCAGACAGACATGGAACTGGACGCTAATCTCCTGCTCAGAAATGGCAGCGTGAGCCATGCACGCTGCAGAGAAGTAGATGAAAAAGGCACAGATCTCGTGCGAAGAAAAGCATAAAATGGAGCTGATAGACTAAGAGAAAGACGTGAATAAATAGAAAGAAATGTGAGCTTACTGGAAAACTGGACACTACGCCTCACCTCACCATGAAGGGAAAGCAACCCCCAAGAGAAGCAGAATGGAGTTTCCTCTGACAGGGTATGAATAACATTGAAATTCACCTGGAGGAACAGCAAACTCTCTCTTTATCTGGGAATATTTTTTTTAAAGAGCTACCAGTGAGGGGCACCCCCCTTCTCAGATAGCAAAGCTGAGGGATCAGTGACTAGCTGAGTGGAACGAGCCACAGAAATATCTAACATGACACCTGTAATGCCACACTTTGGGAGGCCAAGGCAAGAGGATCGCTTGAACCCAGGAGTTTCAGAGAAGTCTGGGCAACATGGAGAGACCCCGTCTCACGAAGAGATGATGTGATCCAGACATGGTGGCATGTACCTGTAGTCCCAGCTACTCAGGAGGCTGAGGTGAGAGGCTCTCTTGAGCCTGGGAGGTCAAGGCGACAGTGAGCCATCACCTCATCCCTCTGCTCCGGCCTGAGCGACAAAACGAGATCTTGTCTAAAAGAAAATGTCAGTCCACTTTGTTATGGAGACTCAGCTAATTATGGTTTCTTAATCTTATGGAGAAAGGATAATTTATTTTATTGGTATTGACATAACTGACCACTTGGAATTAAAAACATTCCTACCTCATATCTAATTATAATGAGTTCAACACTGGTCAACTATCTATAAAAGTAAAACATTAAAAAGTCTTAGAAGAAAACGTAGATGGAGATCAGCCTTGGCCACCTGGCAAAATCCTGTCTCCAAAAATCAAAATAAAAAATTAGCTGGGCACAGCGGTGCACGGCTGTGCTCCCAGCTACACAGAGGCTGAGGCAGGAGAATCCCTTGAACCCAGGAGCTCCAGGCTAAAGCCAGTGTGATCGCAGCACTGCTCTCCAGCCTGGGTAACAGACCATGAGACTCTGTCTCAAAAAAAAGAAAAGAAAGAACACTTAGAATAACATTTGTCTAGCTTTTGAGCAAGTTTTCTTATAACAGAAAATCAAGAAGGTATTTGAGAATGTAGCTTTAAAAAACAGATGTCAAAAATTCTATAAACATTCTAAAACTTCTATAGCATGACATACATCTGTATATAACCATAACTAGTCTTCATAATGGACATTTCTACCATTGAACACAAAACATCCTAACAGCAAAATCTAAAAGGAATGAAGGGTTTGAAGAGGCGATTTAAAGAAGAGGAAATGTTAATCTGTATTCAGACTCCTGCTTGCTTTATTAAGTATTATATTACAGATATCTCTCATCTATTTGGTTGGCAACACTAAGAATTGTCAGAAGGTAACCGCAGGGCGACAGGCGCTCCCGGCTTGGTGGAGTTTAGAATCGCAAGGGCTTTCTGTGGAAGTTGTCTGGCAATTCCTATTTAAAAGACACTTTACTCATGAGGCTTGCACTTCAAATTTCCTCCTTCCTCCACAAGAGCCGGCAGTGAGGATGTCTGCAAGCGTCTCTGGATAGTCTCTGCCTGGTCCAGTGCAGGAGCCACGAGCCACGTGTGGCTAGTGAACATCTGACACGTGGCCAGTGCAGAATGGTATTTCACTTCATTCCAATTAAACAGCCACATGTCATGCACGGCCACCGCATCGGAGAGTGCGGCCCTGAGCGGTCGTGAAGCCAATGTCCTGGGTCTCAGCTAATGCTACAGCAGGAGAAGAAAGAGAAGGAAAAAGAAAAGAAAGAAAACAGGTTCCACCACAGCTGCCAGCTGGCCGAGCTTCTGTCTTAATGGACACGTGTGTACCGAGTAGCATGTCTGAAAACATAAAGCATGGCTCTCGGTCACCTGGACGGCCAGTGGCTGGAGAGTTTTACTGGGAAGGTGGGTGCAAAGGCAGGCTGTGAGGGGTGCAGAGGAGGGCAGAAGGCTACTTCACAGGATGGCACTAGGGACGTGGGGAGGGGAGGAGGAGAGAGGGAGGCAGATGGCAGAGTGTCTGTCGTCTAAAGAGCGGTGCACGGAACGAGAGCAGTGCTGTCTGACTCTGATTTGGTTTTGACGTGTTTGTGTGTTACGTTTTGCATTGTTTGATGCCTCTCAAAACGCGGAGGGCTTTGAGGCAGGACATTTGAGTGACATTCAGAGGTGGAGCCCATAGGGCCTGGGGGCTCACACCCAAATGTCTGCAACTCATGTCTGTGCAGGGGACCTCTGGGCTGGTACCTGGAGCCATTGGTCCTTGTCTCCAGCCCCGAGAGCCGCTGGCAAGCCAGGCCAACCTCTAGGGAGTGGAAGCACGTTGCTGCTGGAGCGCTCAGCAGACATTTGCCCTGGAGATGAGGAGGGAGCGTCAGGTGCCCTGTGGACCTCACAGAGTCCCCGCTTTGGACAGGCTGAGCCACTCGTGCCAGAGGTGAGCCTGGAGCCAGGAGGATGTGCCCATGGAGTGGCTGCCCAGGAAACTTTGGAGGCATGAGAGTCTTCTTAGCTGTGAAAATGAAGACGGGGCATCCAGTGTGCATCCCAAGAACCACCACCAGCAATCGCCACCCAGGAGAAGAGCTAGAGCTGCTCCATCCTTGCTGCCCTCAGAGAACCCCCAACCAAGCTGCAGTTGGCTCCTCAGTCAGGTGGGAGGGGCGGCAGCTGCCCGGTCCGTTCGCAGCTCAGCCGGGGTGGCGGGAGGCTGTGTTCTCACTGTCCGGCGTTCCTCCTCTGCCCCACTGCCGAGAACTTTGCAGGCTGCAAATCAGCAGCCCCCAGGTGCTTTGAATCTTCAAGGTAAATAAAATGTGCATTTCTTACACTTGCTGGGAAAAGAATCAATATCACACGTGTACGATGCTAGACAGCCAGGGAGATGACGCGGAGCCACAGGCTTGTGTACCAGGCGTGGGCTCTCTGAATACGTTAGAGAAGGAACCTTTGCTTTCTTTATGTGCCAGAGCAACACCATCCTCACTTAGTAACACCCCACCCAGGGGACCCACTCAGGTGTCCCCGCACGTGTCCCCCCCAGTTGTCCCCACCTGCCCCAGGAATCCCCTAGAGGTGTCCCCACCCAAGTATCCCCTCCGATGGCCTTGCCCCCAGTGGCCCCACCCAGGTAGATGTCCTCAACCCAGGGGTCCCTGCCCCAGATGAGCTCCCCTGTTCTCCAGTGTGGAGGGGGCACCTGAGAGCTTTTACCCAGGAGGATGGGAGGGGGCATTCCTGCTTCAGCCCCACTAGGCTCCCCACCCACACCCACGATCGGAGAAGAGCTGGCCTCTGTCTTTGTGATGACATGGCTTATCTTCGCCAGGAGGTCTGTGGCCTCAGAAAGGCAGCCCCCTTCTCCCTAATGGCCCCAACCCCTCACCTGTGCCAAACATGGGCCACTTGGTGTGTCTCCATCAAAGTGGGGTGTTTTCCACCCTGGAACTTCCTGGAGTTGACAGCGAGGGGACCAAAGCCATGTGTTTGCCCATCTGTTTCCTGGTGCCCTGGCCTGGGCCTGGCCCTTTGGGGTAGGAGAGACCCATGACGAGGTGAAAGCAGCTGGCCTCAGGGTTTGGGGGAGACTGGCCCAGCCAAGATCCAAAGAGCAGCCTTGCTTCCGCCACTGCCCCCACCTGCTGCCCCCCACACTCCAGAGGTGCCCCAACTGCCATGGGCTGCTGAGCTCCAAGCTTGCCTGTCACCCACATCATGGCAGCAGAAGGAAGGCACCCACCTGCACCACCTCTGGGGAGCCCTGTGCTCCTCCTTCCTGCTGAGTAGGGCTGAATTCCAGGGAGGTGTAACTAACACCTTTCCCTGCGGAAGAGCCGGGGCTCAGCCAGGGAGAGAGAGGCCTCTTGGGGAATGG